TACACACTTATCTTGTGGAAAAGCGAAATTGATATTATTACTAATGAGAAACAAGTACAGAGAGTTCATATGATGGAAATGTGGAGAAAAGGCAGTACATACTCGATAAATACAAAACACGCAAATATTACATAATAGAACCCATAAAAGAAGGGTGCGTCTCGAGAGTAGAAAACTCCGTAACTCTGCCACCCATTATTGTTATATGGGTTCATAATGAGAGATCTAAAGGATCAAAAGCTCTTTTTCTTTTGACCCCTTGTGTTTCCACATAATCTTGAAATGTGATGCATTCTTGGAGCTTTTTGATAAGCTCACCAGACGTATCTGCAAGTTTGAATACTTCTCTTGTTGTAGGAGATATAAGGGTTTGATATACTCCTTGGTCTAAAAATCCAAGCAAACCAGAAAAAAGTTATTAAAATTCAATAGACCTATGGGCTTGTTATGAAGTTTCAATTCTGCCCAAGAAGCAAGGATGAACATTGTCATTAGCATTCCATAACCGCCTGGAAGAATGATAAATGCATCGCTCTTGTTCGCCATATCCATCATACAATCATGAATAGAATGAGTTAGCATCATGCATATGGAATCCTTGACGACCCTTGTTGAAGCTCTATGAAAAGGTATGATACTTTTCACTTCTATCTCAAAACATTTTCCGGCCAATAAAAGATTATCAAAGAAAGTGATGCTAGTCCCTCCATACAGTAAAGTGATTTTTTGATTTCCCATATCCCTTACTAACTAACTCACAATATCAACATTTTGAGAAAAACTTACCAGTCTAGAACCACCAAGAACACATATGGTTTTGATCGGCTGAAGAAATTTATTACCTTGCGAAGGCTCTGAAACATCCATCTATTTGTTGATAAACTTAATTTTTCAAAAGTTTATAAGGCATACGATTATGATGAATGACTCGCTATTTAAATAGAAAGTCTTACAAAGCGATAAATAATTTTACTGTTTTCTTCTGACAATTGCAACCGACAAATAAGGCGTGAGATTTTAAATAAATCTTATCTGTCGGCAGCTATAAGATTCTCTGAAAATTACAGTGCAACTACTAAACTTCATTAGTATGATTTTCATACTAACAAAGACTAGTTTTACAAACTTGATCTTTTGAAACAATATTTTCGAGACTATAACGTTCCTCTTCATTTTTGAAACGAATCCATAGAGACAGAATCTCACGATGCACATACCCACTAGGATGTGTCTCAAGAATCTGGTGGATCGTTTGATCCATAGACTCCTTACTCAAACCATCCTTTATAAATGCTATTTTATCTTCTCGATTTTTGGACACGAACCTCACAGATTTACATCGTGTGTCACAAGTCCATCGAGCGCATTTGAAGCACCCACCTAATCGTTTAGCTCTTCGTTTCTTTGCAAAAGTACTCTTACCCATACCTGGCATATATTTGTATGAATTTCGAAACTCTCCCGACAATCGAACTTTTGCTTCAATCAACCATCGAATATCACCTGGAATATCATTAATCATTAGCACCCTCAATCTTTCTATTCGAGACCGATAAATTCTTTTTATGATATTTACTGGAACAAAAGAATAATATTTACGGATATTTGAGAGTGCCAAATCCATATGTAAATTCGGACCTTTGTTCGTAAAGATTAAATAGAATGTATGATAATTTATAGAAATGATGCGTATGCTATACGACTCTAAGAACAAAGAGTATGTCTGACAGAAAGATTGATACGCATGTGATACGGTTCTGAATTTAAATATTGTGGATCAGAATCTGCACTTAAGTGCATTTATTGCCGCCGAAAGATGATGTGATATGCTTAATGGGTCACAATGAATTATTGTGATGTTTACTGATATAAATGATGATGGTTTGCATGATTAACTGATTATGAGATGTTTTGTTCTCGATTGGTTAAATTATTACTAGCTAAATATTTGTGAATCGATATTTGATCAAACTGAGTATGAAAGGGGTACAATATATATATGGGCCCACTACCCCTCCATGTGTGCTACTAGATATTATGGATCCACTAGATAGCCACATGTGTGATTCGTAACCTGAAGTTACGATATGATTTGATCAAAGAATGTGTATATGACACGTAACCTGAAGTTACGAGATGGTTTGATCAAAGAATGACACAAGATGATTATGAAAGAAAGTGTCATATGAAAGTGATGAAGCTAGTAATATAATCAGCTCATATGGTGAACTCATGAAAGAAAAATGTGCACATTACAAGTGATATGAGTTCAAAGTCCTCCTATTATATGTTGAAATCGAGAACGAAATGGAGATTATATGAACTCCCCTCAAGAAACTCAAAACTGAAAATACAAATTAGATCTGTTGAGATGAGGGGGAGAATCAATTGTTGAAAATTGGAAAATGATATATGCATCACACTGAAAAAGTGAAAATCATAAACTGAATGATACTGATGGTGGTGAAATATATGAAATGATATGATAGTGGAAAGATACGCTGGAAGCGTTGGTATTGTGCAAATTGAAATTCCCCAAATGAGTGATGAAATGAGGCATATATATACTATCGATGAAATTAATTGATAATGAGATATCTCAATATATTACGGGGAATGAATATGTGTCGACACAAACAAATGAATAGCGCTATATAAATGATACTGATGAGAATGAAATCAGCTAAATTATGAATATTGGGAACTATTTGCAGTAAGACCATTGAAATCGATTGATGATGAGAATGAGTTCAAGAATGAAAGTTGCACAAAAGCATGATATGACATATCATCATGAATACCATCAGTACCGGAAAATCTGAACGAATCTATATAATATTCATGAAAATTATGGCAAAGTTATTATGATGAATATGTGGAATACGCGTTGTACTCTTCTTCCCTTGGCTAAGGTTTTGTCCCATTGGGTTTTCCTAACAAGGTTTTTAATGAGGCAACATGGATGGCGTATTCACATGAATAGTGTACTCTTTTTCCTTCATTAGGATTTTGCCCACTGGGTTTTTCCTAATAAGGTTTTAACGAGGCATATTCATGGTATAATGAAGACTACTGGATAATTGATATGATTCTTCATGATGATGAGAAAAGACTGGAGCAGTTGTACTCTTTTTCCTTCGATCAAGTTTTTTCCCACTGGGTTTTCTTGACAAGGTTTTAACGAGGCAGCACATGGATACTCCATTAAAGATGATCTATTTGAGGGGGAGCAATGTTGTGCTTCCACAATGCTCAGGTTTTGTCCCACCGGGTTTTCCTGAGGACGAAATGCTATGATTTCAAGATGATCAGGTTTTGTCCCACCGGGTTTTCCTGAGAAAGCAATAATATGATTTCAAGATGATCAGGTTTTGTCCCACCGGGTTTTCCTGATATGTTAAAGCAGCGGTACCTGATGGCCACAAGATATACTTAAAGATGTGCAGATTGGGCTTTGTTCAAATAATGATTCAAATATGTTTAGAAAATAGTCATTCAAGGGGGAGTGTTATAAATATATATGGTCCACCACCATTAATTTTATGTATGTGAATGACTATTTTGCCCCCTATGTAATTGTATTATTACGGTTATGCCATCAGAAGTTTCCTATAAATAGGAGCTATAGTTATAATGAAAGTCGTACCTAAGAGAAATATTTTCTCTATTCTCTCTCTTTTCTCTCTAGTTTTATAACACCATCAATAAATTTGGATAGGTAAAAACAAAGACGGAGACCTAGGGTGCCCATGGGCCCCCCTCATTTGTTTGAAAAATCAATATATATATACTAGTAATTAAAATTTATTTTTTATGTTTTTTAAATTTAAATTAATAATAATATTTATTTATTGAAAAATGTACTAACAATTTTAATGATTTACTCTTTTTGTCTGTTAATTATAAATCGATTTAGCGATATAAAATCGAGTATTTAGTTGGATTGTTATGTTTTTAATGTTGATTTTTTTCTTCTTTTGTAATTACATATTTTTAACTTTATTTATTTTTTTCTTAAAACATGTCTATTTGGTAAGCTCTAATCAACAAAAATGTTATGAACTGTGCTGCAAAAGTTCAATTTAAATCAAATTTTCTGCCAAAAAACTTATTTTTTCCATAACTTATAAATGTTGAAGTTAATTATAAATACACGAAATCTCATTTAAAAAAAAAAAATTTGAGGGTGATACAGATTATAAGTTTTTAAATACATGATGGTACAACTATCGATATTCATATTTTTATAATAAATATATTTTTATATGAAATGAGCGTTTCGACTTAAACTACAAGCTCGTTATTTAACATTTAAAATCAGGCCCCCATGAGTGAAATTCCTAGATCCGTGTTAAAATAAAGATCTTTGCAGTTTGTTAGAACAAGGATAGCAAGTGTAGATAGCCTTTCCCATACTATATAAAACCTTTCTTTTTCTTTCCTTACACAAAAGACCATATCTTTTTTGAATTTCAGATTGGGAAGATAACAACTAGCTAGAAGCACAATATAAAACACTAGCAATAATGGACTCCAAAAGGCCCCTTTTCCTTGCTCCCACCACCAAAACCTCAACTTTTCATCATAAATAAATTAAAAAAAAAAACCCCACCATTTTTTTTTTCGGTACAAAGAAAGAGTCTAACGCTTCTACATTACGACTGAGTCACATACGTTCCTCGAATACGAAACTCCACTAATATCATGGAACAGCCACTGCCGAACCCCTAAAAACCCACCATTTTTAATACCAAAGGGAACATATTTCATTCATGGGGTTCATCAGAATATGCATGAATCTTATCTCCCACTTTACAACTACATTTTTCCTGCTCTCAATTGCCACCTTTTTTCTTTCCCAACAAATCTTTCCCAAATACTAAAATTCCCATCCCCTTTTCCTTTATCCCCTCCCAACTTTATTTCCATCTTCCCTTTTTTTATCATCTTTCTTGATCACACAACTGTTTCTTTTTTTTTTCTTTTTTTTTTTATACGAATCACATCCACCCGTTGATCGACGATGGATGGCACATCCCAACTCCAAGAAAGTCCCTCGTTTCGCCACGTGTCAACATCTCATGATCGTTGTTCCCTAGCCGGCGACGCTTGGCCATTCGGCCAAGGGAGTCGTTTACCGAACCCTCCACGTCGCTTGCAAGCCCACTCGTGCCCGAGTTCGAGCTGTAAATCCCACAGAACTTATTCCCATCAGACGACGAAATTTCGCCAAGTTGAGCGGCTTTTTGCAGTAAGGCCGTTGCGGATAGGCTTGCCATCGGCTTTTGGTGAAGTAGTTGGTTTTGATCAGTACTGTACAGAGATGGGACACTGAGTTCTTTCTCATTGGTAATGAGAGGGATATCTAAAGGGCAATTGATAGAATTGTTACCAAACTGATCCCAATTGATGATAGAATTGTTAACTGGATTAGTACTATTATTATTAGTGGTGGCAAAGTTGTTGAGTGGAGTGGTGTTTATGGGGATTATTAATCCCATTGGATTAATATCTTGGACATTTTTGGACATGGGTTCTTGGGCTAGCCATAGGGGTAGGCTCCGTCCACCGGTGGGGATTATCGGGTCGATGTTTGGAGGAAAGTTTGGACCGTTTACGTGCTGAACATCTAGAGACGGGCCCGCAAGAAATTGGTGGCTGAGGATAGGTGGATGATTATAGTGGGTGTTGTTCATGTGTGATGCGGCCGTGAATCGCGCTGTCTCCTCGGCTAAGGCGTCGCAGAATGCTCGATGGGTGATGAAGCTATCTCTCCTGTTCAGCACAGAAAAAAGTCGAAGGGCAAAATCGTAAATCGACATGTATGTAAAATAAGCAGATAGATGAAATGTTGATGATCATGAGCTTTTGTTCATTTGGAGGTTGATGAATATTTTAACATGTAGTATAATACATAAGTGAGTTTCATATATGTTCCTCTGTTGCAAGCTTGATATGGGTCCATGAAATATCCTAATT